CCTGGTGTAATGGGCTAAATGGTGCCCCCCCACAAAAAAAAAAAAGATATGTCCTAATCCTAAAAACCTGTGGACATTACTTCATTTGGAAAAGGAGTCTTTGCACATGTAATTAAGAATTATAAAGGAGAGCCTTAAATCCAAAGACAAGTGCCCTTATACTAGTAAACGACACACAGAGAAGAAACAGAGGGAGAAGAGGATAAAGCCATGTGAAGATGGAGGCAGAGATTTGAACTATGCTGCCACAAGCCACGGAATGCATGGAGATGCCAGAAAAAGAAGTTGGCAAGGAAGCACCCTCCTCTAGAGCCTTTGGAGGGAGCACGGTCCTGCCAACACCTTGATTTCAGACTTCTGCCCTGTGAGGGAATCAATTTCTCTTGTTTTAAGCCACCAAGTTTGTGGTAATGTATTACATACTCCTAGGAAACCAATACAGTTGAGGATTAAAAATCAGAATGACCTTTAAAATGTATTTTAAAAAAAGAAAGAAAGAAAGAAAGAAAGAAAGAAAGAAAGAAAGAAAGAAAGAAAGAAAGAAAGAAAGAAAGAAAGAAAGAAAAGAAGAGAAGAGAAGAGAAGAGAAGAGAAGAGAAAAGAAAAGAAAAGAAAAGAAAAGAAAAACAGATTAGGTAACTCCTGATCTCTCCTTCAAAGCTAAGTTCTATACCACAGAATCCAGCATGCCAGGTACATAATAAACATTCATCAGGTTGCTACCTCTTCCCCATGGGCATTCTGGCAACCCATTCTGTTACCACCATATGACTAATGCCTAGTCTCAGATCCTTCCAACGTCTGCATTTTCTAATTTAGACTAAAACTGTGCACTAGAACCATCTTCACATATATCTGACAGGAGCCCTGAAAACCCTGGCAATTCTGATTCAGAAAGTCTGTGGTGGGGCCAAGGCATTTGCACATTTAATAAGCTTCATAAAGATGCTAATGTCACCAGACATTGGAACCTAGGGCGTTCAGCAGGTGGACTTGCTGTCTGGCTACTCTCTTTCTAAAACCCAGGTGGGCTGATAGGCAAAGGAACCAGTGTGATGGAGGGAGCAGAGAGCACAGGGCTGGAGGACAGAGAATACACATAAGAAAGCTAGACAGAAGTACTTCTGGTCAAGATGGAGAAGTAGATAAACGCTGTGCTCACCTCTTTGCACGACCACATAAAGTTACAGCTAAATTCTAGAACAATCAACCTGGAGAACCATCTGAAGACTAGCTGAAAATAAGTCTTATAACTAAAGATATAAAGAGGAAGCCATGTTGAGACTGGTAGGAGGGCAGAGACCCTAAATGGGCTGGCCCCACAGCCATGTGTGGTGGTTGAGAATTGGGAGGGATATTTCAGCTGTAGAGGTTCCCCCTGAGAAGTGAAGTGTCCCAGCCCCACACTGAACTCCCCAGTCTTGAGTGCCAATACCAGGAAGCAAAGACCCCACAACATCTGGCTATGCAAATCATCAGGGATTCTGTCCGTCTAGTTGAGACAGAGGCTGCTGGGAACCCAGACACCTTCTTAAAGGGCCTGTGCACAGACTTACTTGCAGGAACCCACCCTGGGCTCCAGAAGATGAACCGCAGCTCTGGAGACATACAGTGAAAAACTGAGTTGTGTGGCTTCAGGGTGAAGGCTGGAGGGACAGCCACCATTGCCCCTGTGAGGAGCCCTCCTCCCACACAGCCAGCAGGTGGGTACCATCTTTCCTGTGTTGAGCCCTCCCCACACCTGGCCAATTCTGAATCTGCATTAGCCCATTGAACACCACTCGCTCTGCCCTAACCACTCTCTGAGAGCCCAACCTACCCAACTCATACACCGGAAGAGGCTCTGTGGGCCAGCCTTGGCTGTGCGGCAGTCATTTTTAAAGGCTTTCAAAGGTCTGCAGGCTTCATGTGTGCAACAACTGGCTCGATGTGTGCTGTGCTGAGCGGCCCGAGGCTCAGCAAGGTGCCAAATATAAATCTGCATTAACCTCATGAACACCACTCACCCCACACTGGTGTCTTCCAAGAGGCCCCAGAACCAACATACCCAGTGGCTGGCTTTAGACCACAACAGAGCACCACCCCAATTAGCTCCAATTATGCTAAGTGAAATAAGTCAGCAAAGAAAGACAAATACCATGGGATTTCACTTATATGTGGAGTCTAAAGAACAAAATAAAAACCACACAAATAAAACAAAAACAGACTCACAGATACAGTGAACAGACTGATGGTTACCAGATGGGAGAGGGTTGGTGGCAGGTAAAACAGGTGAATAGATTGAGAAGTACATATTGGTAGTTACAAAATAGTCATGGGGGTATAAAGTACAGCATAGGAAATACAGTCAATAATACTGTAATAACTATGTGTGGTGCCAGTTGGATGCTGAAAGTACCAGGAGGACCAAAGACTTTGTAAAGAATATGATTGTCTAACCAATGTGCTGTACACCTGAAATTATACAATATAATATTAAATGTAAACTGTAATTGAAAAATTTTCTAAAATAAAAAAAATGAACAGGAAAATTTTAAGAAAACACCACACACACACACACACACACACACACACACACACACCACACACACATACACACACACACGCGCGCAAGCTAGAGACACTTTGTGAACAATCTCCACCCGTATTCCTCCTGGACATGTGCCATCCATGCAATGTGTGTCCAGGTTTACACAGACTCCAAAGGTGGAGTGAGAGCGCTGAGAAAATAAAGCAGAACCAGAATTGGTGTATAGCTAATGGATAACAGTATTTGGGGATTAAATCATAAGTTTCATGTGATAAAATATTTATACGATGAAGTATGAAATATGTTGAGAAAATATAAATTTAAAATGGAGCCATAAACTTAAATGCCATCTAAGAAGTATGTAATAAATGTCTACTCTATATCAGGCACTGTGGTAGGAACAGGGCCTCTGATGATAGGACCGTCCCGCCCCTCCTCTCAAGGACAGATCCAGGGCACAGCAGAAGAAACAGAAAACCAGCAGTCTGGTCATAACTAATCAAAAACCTTGTGCCCAGGCCCGATCTCAATGGGAGAACTTGGCCAGTGGCTGAGCTGATTTTTCCCTGAGGTTATGTTCAATACAGAACTGATGTAATCAGAAAATGGAAGTCAGTGGAACTGACTTTAAGTTGACATTTATTAAATGTTATAGAAGTTTGAGGAAATTCTCCACTCCTGACTAAGTAAAAATAGACAGGATATTAAATGTTACTGATTTGATTAACAAATAAAGCCAGAAGATTTGGTCTCTGACACTTCAGGGAATTCCTTACTGAACCGCCAAACTACAGTATTAGAGTTAGTCCTTTGCAAAGAGGGGCTGCCCAATTTTTTTTAAAAGAGTACAACTGTGCCCATTTTCATTAACACATCATCAATGTCACTGTTAAATTATGTGGCTGGGTTAAGTTCAGACCATGATGCTCATTAGTTTGTTAAGTATTTAATAATATAATTCTGGCTGAAAACACCACTTCCCCAGAACCAGTGATCCCAAACAGGATTAGCATAAATCCAATCACTCATTTAACCAGTAATTGTGTCACTACTATGTGTCAGACTCTGTGCTAGGCACTGAGGTTGTAGCAATGAGCACAGGTAAGTCTTGGCTTCTGTGGGGCTCCTTCTTTGAAATATGTTCCATCAAGTGCCACCACCATACCTCTAAGGCAGATATCGCTCATTAGTCACAGCGCTGTCTCCTGCCAAGCCCTAGACTGCTTGAGGATCTTTCTCAACATGCTACTATGAGAATATTACCAAAGGCAGAGCATAAGATGAAACTTATTAGCCATCCAAATGCTAACCAAACTACACTGAATCACCTGTGGTTCCCCCCAAAATTCTACTGTCTTGGTTCATGTCATTTTCTGTTTCTCTTTCACCTCCCTCTCCTCCACCACAATGAACATCCAAATTAACTCTCTGAACAGCTCAAATGCTCTGCCTTGAAGTTCCCCCATTCTCCCATTTGGACACAAATTCTTCGTCTTCTGAACCTGTTTCTTCCCCCTTTTATGGTATCTAATAAAGTGCATGTCGTGTCTCTCATGTATGCATCTTAAGGATAAAAATATCTTTTATATCTTTGAATTCCTCACTTATCTATCATATAGCTTTGTGCATGTACACACACATATATACACACACACACACAGGAAAACCACATGCTTGCTAAGCAGTGGTTCAATTAATTATTAGAGAACTTAGGTTGATGAACACATAAGCTTACTTGGGGAAAAGCTTATTGTATATCTATGTTCAATGGGGATATATCATTTCTACTGTTCTGGCTATCAAGTTGCATTTACAAGGCAAATTACTCTTAAGTTCATGTTTATGTAAAAGAAGAAAAGTTGTATTTGATGTAAAGAAATAGTACAGTAGATTCTTAATCTGAATCATGCACTCCCGGTGGCTGTGATGCCTCCGATACTGTATACAGCATAGGTATGTTTTTCCAGGGAAAGGATTCACCAGATTTTCAAAAACTAAATTATATAGTAACTCACTGATGCTGATGGAGATATTTATGTGTTTGTTCTCACATGTCAAACTGGAAAGACCCCATTTACTCCTATTTCCAGATTTACATCTCTCAGGATGATCCTGGTAATCTCCAAATTGTTTTTCCTATGTTCACTCTGCCCACAAAAGAAAAAATGAAGCCATAAAGACTTGTTTTTTTTAGCACATAAATGTCTAAATGATCAACAATATCTATTAATCTTCCATATTTTCAGAACCTAATAAACTTCCATGAACTCAGCAGTTTCTTTGATGTTATGTATGTACCTTTAGGAAACACATTCTCTCCCCCTCCCCCCCGTCCCCCCAAAAAAATCCAAATTAAAATGTATTCGCTAAGTTAAAGGTATTCAGATTCGTAATTAATAGCACTCTTTCAACCTAGGGAAATATAAACAATGGACTAGGGAAAGAAAATGCACAGCCTTAAGACCAGTAGTATTATTGAATTAAAGTTTATTTAAAACCATGCAAGAGGTTCTCCATGAGTGTAAGTAGACTGGTTCATATCAGAGCCATATTTATAGATACCAATAACTGTAACTTTTGTCCACAAGACATACTAAATCAAACAATGTGATTAATTCAAGGTTATCTTTTTTTAAAGAATTTAAGCCACAAAGATGATTAGTCAGTTGCTTGTGAAACTTCTCATTTTTTAAAAAAAGTATTTTACTAAATCAAATGTATACAATGAATTAGTGAGCAATCAAATCCAAATACATTCCTCAGAGTATGCCAGAGGTAAGTAAAACAATATTAATAGAACCAAGATCACTAAAAAGTAAAGGATTTTTTAATAAATGGTAATATAAAACATCATGGCACATTATCATTATTGGACATGGAAACCCAATAAGACATGTTTCAATATTGACTTTTTGTTGATCCTATAAAGCTAAAACAAAATTCCCAACAGAGCAAGAAAATGATAAACTCTAGAAAGTGAGACATAAGGCAGTGTTCTCTTTAAGAACATGCAATTCCCTACAAATAATGTCTCATCTCAATGCATGAGGAAAAGCGTATTTAAAATTCAAACAGAGCTCTGCCAGCCGCTAGGGGAACAACTCTCCATCTGCTTCATCAATAGAGACAGTGGTTGGGTGATCACACAACTCCTTTGAATGTGTATAATTTTTAAAAATATTGACAACTCACTTATTCTTTTCTACTTTATTGAATTACACATTTCAAATATGGCCACGTTCACGACCAAATATGTACAAACATTTAAAAAAATGAAAATAACAATTATATACAGTTTGAAAAATCAAATTGTAACTATGATACCTTTCATCTAGTCCAATGACTAGAGACTTTCCAACACCAATAACTATCAGATATTGCATCAGGCCAAATGAAAGTTTACAATTTACCTGCTTTTAAACTGGCAATAGCTACATGAGCAATGCCATATGCAACAAATCAAAGTCATTTCCTAACCAAAAGCTACTATTAATTGAAATCAATTTTACCATTCATATTAAATTCAGATGTCTAAATCCCAGATACCTGGGTATGAAATATTTAAATCTGCCAAAAGGAATTAAATATTTTTCTTCTTTTCTTTTAATATAATCCACTATATAATAGTGAACTAAATATATTTGTTTCATAGAAACAACTTACATTTGCCAATACAGGGCAAATGGTCTATATACAGATACATTAGGACTGCCTAACTGACAGTGAGTGTTGCCGACCAGGCTCCAAGTCAATAGAGCTAATACGGTGGAGCTCTCTGCTGAATGGACTTTCCCTTCAGGATACGTCGGATCTGGAATGGAAATGAATAGGATTTGTAAGTTTTCTTTTTTATGTTCAGCTTCAACAGGAACCCAGAACCCACCTTATACACACATAAATCCTTAATATACTTCAAGTCAAAACAGCTGTTCTGATACCCAGGAATAAAGTATCTGCACATAACTTCATGGATCACAGGAAAGCCTCTAGGCTCATTCAGAGCCTAATGATTTAAACACCAGATTGACAAATTTTCTTAACTGTCTCTCAGTCCACAGCAGATGAAAAGCCACAATTTAGAAGAAAAAGAATAGGGTGGGGAATGCAATTGACAACTGCTGGAAGAAGACACAATGACCACAGTCTGAATGACTACAGTCTGACAACAGAAGAAAAGGAAAAGACCCTCCCCACAAACTCACACACACCAAAAAATACAGAAGCAGAAAGGAGAGTAATCTGAGAACATTAAAAGTCAAATGCTGAGCATAACCAATGGACATAAGACACTGGGGGGTAGGGGAGGCCAGGGGATTGTCAAGGGCGGGGTGGGGGAAAAAAAAAGGACACATATGTAATACTCTTTGTAATACTTGAAGCAAAAAAAAAAAAAAAGTCAAATGCTGAGAACATCGCTGTATGACTACGCACCATAAACCTGAAGTAGAAGCAAACACTGGGGTTAGGGCACTGCCATTTAATATTTCATGATGGTTCCTATCCGTGGAACTTCTGTGAGTCTCATTTTCTTAGCTGAACTCTTATACTGCAAAGTTTTCATAGCTATTAAGTGTATACATGAAAACTTTACAAAGTAAAGAGCTCCATCTTAAGTTATAAAGAGCTCTACAAATATGGGTTCCTATAACATTATGGTCATATGGGGGATGTGAATCAAAGAAACAACTACATTGCACTCCATATATTTTATGATTATGAAAATATGTAATGACCTACCTATAGCCACAATCACCCTCATTTCCCCCAGGGAAAATTTCCATCAAAAATATCTCAAGGTCTTAAAAGATTCAGTTCTTGTTTTCAAGAAAAGTTCAGTCATGTGAAACTATTCAATCTCTGAAGATAATATATAAACATATGATGAGTAAAGCATAATTTTGTTTAAAGTATAAAATAGTTCTAGGTTCTAAATTGCATTAAAAAAAAAACCAACCTTCCTATTTCTTATTTAAAATCAGTTACTAGAAATAATTGTAACAGCTGATGTTTACTGAGCACTGACTACGTGCCCGGGACTCTCCTGGACACTCCTACAGATACTGACTCATGTCACACCGACAGACACGCACACTGATAGAACCTGCCTGAAGAGCACCTCCACCCTGAACAATCTCACCTCCCTTTATGTTTCAGACCAAGTGTCTGAAAGCTTTGCCTGTCCCTCCTGTCACCCTCACCTGTTCTCCCACAGGGCCATCAGGAACCAAATGCACTGGCTGCTCGTTCTCCAAGTTCCGAGTACTTGGGTCTGCTCCCTTCCTCATCAACAGGCGGACTGCGTCCAACTGCGTCACCCGATACTGCAGGCTGGCAACAACGTGGAGGGCAGTGTTTCCATTGTAAGCCTGAGACAAAGAGACAAAAATGATGCCCATCAGGAAGGGGGACTTTCATGAGAACAGCTCGAAAGCTTGAAAAAGCTGTAAAAAAAGTCACTCCAACTCTTGTGAAGGTATTGAAGCTTTCGAAAGGTACCTTTGCATTCACGAAAGACAGGCAACTGGGCAGTTCCAAAAAGAGGCGAATGAGTTCCAGATTTGCTTCCTCAGCTGCCAAATGCAGGGCTGTGCGGCCACTTTTACGATCCTTGTTAAAGGCAAGAGGGGAAAGACGTGACCATCCAGACAGCATGCCCAATCATGCTTTTCACCCAGCCTCCCAAATTCTGACTCAAGCCTTCCTTAACCCCAAACGAGATGAAATCTCTCATTCCTGTTAAATTCCTATTAATTTGCCTAGGTGCCTCTTATCACAGTCTACCTTTACATACAGGGAGGCATAAAATGTAGAAACATAGACGATACTGTTTTACAATGTACTGTAATATAATACAATAAATGATTTATTATGTACTCGCCTATGTTTCCGACTTGGCAGCCACCCCGTAGACTTATAATTAGTTACATTCCTCACCTCTTCAATTAGAAGGTCCCTAAGGACCCAGTAGCTGACATTCAGGCCTCCCCCTCGCCCCGAACCCCTAACTCAGTGCATTGTACATAAGAGATACTCAGCAAATAAACCTCAATTTTGCAGAGAAAAACTATTTTCCAGTCTAAAAAACAGAGGATTAAGTCTAGATCCCACAATGATGAAGCAACCTTACAAAAAACACAGAGTTTTAATCTCTATTTGGGAACAGGTTTTTGTGGTAACCACTTCCTCCCCATCCCATATCCAAACTCTTCTGTGAATTTACCTTGGCCTCCACTGCTGCCCCCATTTGAATCAGACCCTTAATGGTGTCAACCAGACTCTTATTCTTCAGTAAAAGCTCCTGAACTTCAGGTGAATGTGGCTGTTCATTTCTCTGGAGTTCATGCACCACAGCATTATGGGCCACGACCGCACAGTGCAGAGGAGTCAGGCCTAGAAAAAGTATAATAAAGCAGTGGTCAAGCATGCCATCAAGCCTTTCGGTTGTTCTATAATTACAAACCTTGAGAATGGCCTACGAATGGGCTCCACAAGAACTAGTAAGGCAATCTGAATAATTCCTCCACTAGTTCTTAGTGCTAATTTCATCTATAGAATATTTTAGCATTAATTACCTCCCTTCCTTCTTGGTATGAAACTTAATATAACTTTAGAATGAATGGGCCCCTCTCTATAAATGGTTTTTTACCCAATAAAGTGTCATTTGCTTACCATCATAGTTAGTTGCCTCAAGATCCACAAACTGATTGCTCATCACCGCACCCTTCTGAATTGCCTGAAAATTTTAAAAACATCTATCTGTTAGCAAGAGACAAGCTATACAAGTATTCTAAGTATTGAATAAGTGAACTCAAAATGGATTATTGCAACCCACATCCAACATCTAAGACTCAAGCCCTCTCTTTGGCCCTGTGCTAATGGAAGCCTAGCAAACTGCCTCTTACCTGAAGCACCTGGGAGTGGCCCTTCTCAGCACAGACGTGCAGAGGGGTTCTCCCCCAGCAGTCGGTGGTGTTCACCTGAGCTCCAAGGTTCACCAGATCCTGCACAATAAGATGCTGATTGGCAGCCACTGCCACCTGAAAGGCACTCTGTGGACATTCAGAAGAAAAAAAAAATGTTTTTAAAACATGTAACACTATCATGACAAGGAATATGAACCTAAACTAAGACTGAGGGAAAAACCCACGTGGAAAAAATAAATCCTATTAATAAATAATAAGATACTGTAATACAAGAAAACTAAAGTAAACTTAAGGTGTGGCTTTATTATACCCAATTAGTCTTTGGTGAAATAACTATGAAGTTAATGTTAATAACTTCAAGGTTGATGGTGGCAAAGAGTCAACATCTCAAAGTTAATATTAACTAAGCTCTTTTGGTCTTGAGCTCTGAAACTACTTGCGGATGAATATGAGACTGGCTGTCACTCTCTTCACAGCGACCACATTTTTGCCACTTCGCTCTGTCAAGGTCCTCACCTGTCCATTGTGCTCTTTAATATCCAGCATGTGAAGTGCATTCATCTTTCTTGCAAGGACATAGGAAAGTGCCCTTCGCCCTTGGGCAACAGCAATATGGAGGAACCTGGGAGACAAGGGAAGGAAAAGAGGTGAATTACTTCTGATTTCACTAAGTGCATTAAAAATATATATATATTCCTTTAGTCCCTTTCTTATTATGTTGGTACACTCAAAGCATTACAGAGCATAAATTATCCTGTCGGCTGAGTTGCAACAGGATGAGTCAGGCTATGAATAGTAAGAAAAAGAATGCCAACCACCATACAGATCACTTTAAACCTATTATTTTTAATATTTATAAAAACCCTATGAGGGAGGTATTATCATTTTACATGTCAAGAAACTGAGGCACAGAGAACTTACATAGCCTGCCCAAGGCCAAAGGTATCAGGACAGATAAGAATTCAATCTACAAATCAACTCACAGTTGACCATGACCAACTAATCATAATCTGATTTTCTCTCTATAAATACAGTCTATGCTAGTCTTTCAAAGCCAATTATTCAAAGAAAACGCATACATTTTTATTAACTTAGAAAAGGTAATTTGTTCAGCCAGGGGAAAAAAAAAGGAAAACTCTTTCTTGAAATATTAGCTATCATTGAACAGCAATTTCTACCTACAGTCTTCATCTTGATTAGCCAACCATTTGGTAAGGTCTAACTTGGTATACCCTAGAGATATCCTCTGCCCACTATGTACAGCAAATATGTTTTACCAAAATAGGTACATGAGATAAAGGGATACTCACGTGTCACCATCTGCATCCTTTGAAAGAAACTGATCTTGGGAGATATTTGCCAGTTTGCTTTCTTCCTGCTCTACTTGCCACTGAAAAAATGACTTCCCTAACTGCGTGGTGTTCATTGAATTTCCAATGATGTTCTGGAATGGCAGTGAGGTGCTTAAAGGCACAGAGCCTGCATCGTGCCCCGCCATGGCCTCACAGGCATTGTGTGGCACCATGCTGAAGTTTTGCAGGTGGGCGTCATTTTGTTGCTGAACACTGGGGGAAGTCTGAATGGGAACAGCAACATTCTCACACTCCCCATGACTAGTTAAAAGGGATGCAAAACTTTGGTTTGGGCAGAACTGTAGTTCTTGGTTACTAAAGAAGTTTGGCTCATAGTTGGGAGACTGGGAAGTTCTGGAATAAGGACTGTATTCCAGAGTTGGGTTCTGGGTACAGTGCTGTGGCTGCTGCTGCGGCTGTGGCTGCATGTTCTGGTTCTGAGGAGAATACTGGTACATGGAAGCCTGATCCATCAAGTGTGGGGAGCTGCTGACTTGCAAAGGCTGGTACTTCTGAGGTGGACTGAAGATCTGCCCTCCATGGAAGTCCTGGCACTGCTCTCGGTGAGAGCCCTGAGGGACCACCGCAGGGCTCACCCAGCTAACTTGGACAGTATTCAGGGAAACCGGGCTGTATTCATTCTTGATGTTGATAATGTTCTGAAGCAGATCAGCACTGCTGTCCTGTTTGGATTCATTGTGGTGAGCATCTTCCATGCTCTCTGCGGGTGTTGGTGTTTGAGGTGGTGTCTGGAAAGAAAGAAAAAGTAAATTGCACACTCCCTTCCAAAATTATTCCAGGAATAATTTCCTCTATAGAATATAATTTAATTTCTGAAAGGTATTCAGAGGAAAATAGTGAGACGCTTACCAAAAACTGGGTATGCAGCAAAGCTGGCCTTTTACCAGCTGGTCCATCAGACAACGAATCGGGTCCTTTCCTTTTCCCACTATATGACACAGTGTTTGTCAACTCTATACCCAAAAAAGGAATGTGGAATCTGTGATCGTTTTATTTTGAAAACTTTACTCATAACATACCACATTATTTTATTCTAAAGGCCCCATAATATCATGAATAGAAGTAATTCCTACCTGTAAATTGCTCTCTGTTCACACCTTGTGTCTATAAGGAAAAAACAAGTTTCCAATTTAGTATAATATTAAATGGCTTTCTGCTCAATAGACATCAATAAACATACTTATCTCTCCCACTCTTTACAGCTCACCATAAACCTTTGATGCAGCTGCTCTATCAATATTTATTTTCTATCTTAATTTTCATTCTATCTTGCAACTTCCCCCCATTTGCCCGTTCACCTTAGTTCAACTATGTCAAGATAAAATTAATAAGACCATTTGAGTTTTCCCTTTCTTATCAAGATGTTCCATTTCAGTTGAACCCATTTATTTCTTTGCCCCCAATTTCATTCATTAAATTTCTCTTGTCCACCTACCAAGTGCCTAGCACTGGGCTAAGCAATAGGAATACGGCAGACAGCAAGACACATATGCTCCCTGTCCTACGGACGTGGTGGTCTACAAAAGACTTACGGGACTTGGGTCAGCAAAAACTAGTAACCCCAACAGACTAATCTTCCTGACCTCTGACCCAAAACAAAAAAAAATAGGTGCCACCTTAAAATCATCTGTGGCTTGGCCAGAAGCCTTCTGTTTATGACTTCGGATGTGCAGCAAGAGCTCCTTCACCGAGTTCTTCACACGAACACCTTGAAAGGGTCCTCTCTGCTGCCTTCCAACCCCCATATGGGGCTCAGCTGTTCAAAAGGAAAAAAAACATATCCCAATTAAGTCTCTGCACAGACACAAATCTTAGTAACCTCAAAAGCATAGCTGTCTAACGTATAGAGTCCCCAATCACCAGAATGCAAAGCCTTGCCAACTTGCTCTGGTCAATGGCCTACATGTCACTCCCCTGTCCTACTTAAGGTTTGAAGCTGCCTGAATGCTTTGCCCCGATCAGGCTCCCTAAAGAGTTAAATCTCATACAACTGTGGTTTCAGGGATCTTCAGAGCCAACAGACAACCCAAATTAAACCTCTAGGTCTCTCGCCCCTTTCAACCCATGAGACAGTATCACAGATTTGCCACGCTAACTCTCATAGGTCTATCACTATTCTTCACTTTTGAAAAACCTTGGGGGATCAAAGGATAAATGATGAATTTTTAGCTTTTCAAACCAAAGGCTTGGTGCCCACATAAAAATGTAAGTCTATTAATCCCCTAACCTAAGAAAGCACAAAACAAACTTCCTCCAAAGATCTCAATGTACCAAAGCCTAACAATGAACAATGTCTTAGATGTGTTTCTTATTATTTCGCTCAGTTCAGTCAACTACGCCAAGAAATCTGCTTGAATTCACTCAGATTAAACACATTTCCACACAGGCATGCAGGATTTCCCCTCACTGACTTTTTGAAACTGCTCACAGAGGCCTTCTAAGTAAAAAGGAAATCTGTAATCTCATTTCATATTTAAACTTTAAAACACACTTTAAAATGTAGTCTGCGAGTACAGCATTCCACTTCTGACCACTGCTATGTCATAACCTCTTGGGATGAGTTGAACACAAAGTAAACATGCAAAATGTCAGGAAATGAATAATCCAGCCACCCCATTGACAGTGGAAAAAAGTAAGAAGATGGGACAAGAAACAATGCATAATTTGAATATATGTATATATCATAAATATAGGAAAGAAACAATTTAATGATGGGGCAAATTAAATGACTAGTTAGTTTTACATTTAAGTTGAGGAACATCTTGCCAGAATCTAACACAACATTTCTCTGGAATGACAGGAGTTAATAACTCAACGTCACAAGGAGAAAAATGCAGTTTGAGAAATCCCCTAATGGTTATGCCGTAAACCAGGGAAGTAGCAAAATAGTTTCAACCAGATGAAAGCCAAATGTGGGAGAAAAGGTTCTAAATACACACACACACACACATACACACACACACACACTTTTTACATACAACCAAGTGGATTAAAGTACTTCTTTAAATGAAAATGGAAATTCACTTTTCTTAAAAGAAGACAACCGAACCAGCAGCGGCTAGCAGTGAGGAACACCTAAAAGAGAACATTCTTTAAACCATGCTGATTAGATTCTCCAACATTTGAGATTGTCTAGAGGTTCTTTAGTCTACCCACTGTGGCATCCTGTTTTCCCCCAAATTATGCAGCTCCGTTCATTAAGAAAAGAAAGCAACCAGCCCTGGCCAGGCAGCTCACTTGGTTAGAGCTTCTGTCCTCCCAAATACACCAAGGCTACGGTTTGATAGCTAGCCAGGGAACAAACATATACGAATCAACCAATGATGCATAAATAAGTGGAACAACAAATCGATGTTTCTCTTTCTTTTTCTTTCCCCCCTCCTCTCTCTCTCTCTCTCTCTCTCTCTCTCTCTCAATTTAAAAAATGAAAGAAACTAACCAATTCACAACCAAAGAAAGAAAACATTGTTTCTTTGCTAGATGTGGCTTAACCATTCTAAAGCACCCAGAACAAAACCAGAAGCACAGAAAACTAACTGGCCAATCGCACAAACTAAACATACATTGAATTGGTTTTCAGTCCAGCTTCACCTTATTACATCTTGTTAATATCGGTTTCCTTTCTTGAACATAAAGTCCTTTTACTTAAAATTTCCACAAATACTTAGGAAGAACCAAGTCAGGACCTCAAACCCTTTCACTAACAAAAGTCACAAGAAAAAAAAAACAACTACATTATATCCAAAACCTCGCCATAATATGTGAATTCTAGCTTAATAAAGTTGCTTTTAAAAAAGAGAGAGAAAATCTACTGTGGTTCGGGTCCGTACCCCCTCCACTGCACCACCACCCTCACCCCACCCCGCGCCCCAGAAGTCAGAGTTTTGTTCCCAGAAGCGTTTTAAGCTACGAAGCCAGCTGTCGGGAGCCCGGATTTCACAGACCGCCAAAGGGCTTCGAGTTGTCAAACGCCCAGCACTGGGTGAGGTGTCCAGCAGTCGCCTAATAAGTGATGGCTAGTGTGATTATGTGCTGCCGCTAAGCAAGGCGCAGAGGCGCCTCGGGCGGCC